ACTGTTTGCGCTTTTCTATTACAACATATTATAATTATTATACGTATATACTTTCTCAAAATATCAGAGTACATTATTTATAACTATTTAAAAAAAAAACAAATAGACGGCGTCTAAAAATAAATTAATGTTTATTTAATTTGTTTTTGCTTTACACTCTCGCAGAGACGTTTCATTTCCGCTCGAGTACTTCGATTTGTCTCGCGATAATCATTTTAATCCGTTTTACACACGTTTCGTCGATGAAGTAACGTTCTTCGGTTCGACAGAATCGTTGTGAACGCATCTGCTAATATTCATCAGATTGATTAATTGATATTGTTGTATTGCCACCGATGATGCGGTTACAATATAATATTTTTTACAACCATCAGTGCGATCACCTCTACGCCTATATTATTCTACTACTATACCTATACCTACTATACTATACCTCTGCGTTTTATTCTATTATACAGAAAAATCCGACACTCAAACAGTCCTCATGTGGCTTAGAGTGTTGGATAGTACTCGTATTACCGCATTCTAATAGTGTTCGCGGAATAAAAGTATAGTTGGATCAATTGTAATCATAATGGTTTAGTTATTCCAACTATAAATTGTATTGCACCCCTATTGACTATATGGTTTTTCCGTGTGGTCAACTTGTTATTTGTTTATATGTATTAACATTAAATATATATGTTCAATGTTCATACATCGATGTATGTATACATTTATAAATAATTTCAATAACTCTTGGCTTCAAAGAATGCAGTTAAATGTTTTAAAGAGCTTTAGTCTCTTGACCGATTAACTAAAAAATCTTAGTCTAGGCAGACATGATTTGACCGTATAACTTCTCATTAATGGATGGGAGTCGATATTATTTTATACGATCTACGAGAGACTTTAACGCGTGATCGTAAACCGACTTTATTTACTCATACTAGCATATTATGCATGATGACCTATTGACGGGAAATTTAATATGGTCATTCGTTGTGCTATGTGTAGAAGCGAGGGTGGTTGGTAACTTCTATGAGCCGTGAACTTTTGTGCTAGATGTTGTGATTTGCGAGTATTGTCGAGATGTCATTGAGGCAAACCGGGATTCGGTTGGGCTCGAATATAATTTGTTTTCTTTCCATAAACGCGTACCACATCATTACAACTTTGTTGGTAATTGACCCTTTTTTTTCCAACGAGATTAATATATGTACCGTAGTATTATATTTTCGGCTGTGTAAGAATAACAACGGAAAACGACGTTTTTTATTCCCGCAGCCGTTGTTTTCAAGTACAAAATGGCGAGGTGGCACGACAATAATCAAGTACACGGTGGCAGCTGTACCATCACAGAACAATTTCTTTTGTTTATATTATACATTATTATTATTATTATTTTTATTATTAGGTATATGGAATCTAAGTCTTCGCCGAGTTTTAGTTACCATTAGTATATATTTTATAACTACATCTTTCTCGTCGCTTATAAATATATAATATCCGTATTATATGTCTGGTGTACAGGCGCAGATACTTTTATAGCCTTTTTCCCTCTTATATTATAATATTATACTTATTAAACCAGGGACGCTGTTGCTGTTTTGCTTTGCTATTGTCTTTCCGTTTATAGTAAACAGTGTAAATATAAACATACGCATATTACATGGTCGTTAAGCAAATAATGTTTGAACTGCGAGGCGATCCCCAGAGGTACCACGGGTCAATGATGATGTTCTTCGGCCGTAACGAGTTTGGGTTGAACGCGACAAAAGATAATAACACGTAATGGACCTAGAGGCCTGTTAATATACTCACAGGCAGAACAGCTCATGCCTACGGTCGACGACATGCCACTATAAGACGACGGGCGTCGCTGTGCTCTCTGACCCGACCTCAAGACCACCCAAGCAATAATAATTTAAACAATTATTACTTATTAGTAGGTATTGCCTATATTATTGTTAATGCAGCAACTCAGTTGTGCACTTCTGAGCACTTGTACATATATAAATTATATATTTTTTTTGTATATATAACGGTAGTTATTGATAGTGTTTAGCGGTCTTTGATATATCGGTTTGAATGACTAAAAGGTTGGGGCTTTAAACAACTAAACGGCTAAACAAAATTAACGACGTCCAACCGTACCTCTCACCGGGATCGACTACAAACGCTTATTGACATTATATTATGTACATATTATTATAATAATATATTTTATTATTGTAATGTGACACTGTCTAAATGTAGGTAAGGAATATGCGGCGCTTACGGAAAAATTTGGAACGTGTTTTGGAACTGTATAAACGCCTTCGCGGTTAAAGGAATATGTAACATTATTGTCGATTCGTTGTTCACTTAAAAAAATACATTTATTATAAAAAAATGTATGTATACACTGTTGAAATGTGACAGGCGAACGAGAGAAATGTAACTCCTCTGACAGGCAGCTTGCTCTCTCGTCGGCGTATGACCATTGAATTACAATACTATAACAACAATTATATTATTGTAATACATTTTTTTACTGCACTTGTCTCTCCATGTAAATCCCACCGATGGATCGACGGTCCAAACGCTTTTTAGACTATATATGTTATATGCGTGTATTTCTTTTTATTATCCAGTTCGACTTGAAAAATAATTTGTTAATCTTTCAATTCGAATACCGTTACAATATATATATGTTATAATGATCAACCGAATTGTATATTTATCTATAATATGTATATGTATAAGAAAATATATATCATATAGGTGTGATTAAATTGTTCACACTATTTTCGAGCACAAATATATGTGAGTATATATTATTAGTATGAACTGTATATTTTATAGTGTATATTGATGTGGTAATAAAAAGTCAGGGAGAGAAAACCGGGTGTATAATTATAGTTTTCACTTGCATAAATCATATGCATACTACGGATGGGTATACTGTATAAGTATAGGTACCGCAAAATGTTATATTACTATCAATACATATTAATGTGGTTTATTATATATTATGTATAGCCAACGCTATTGAAGCGTGAACTTTGTATGTGTGTAACCCAATAAATTATCTGAACGCAGTGATAACCGAACGTATTAAGATTTATATCTGCTAAAAAACATAAAACTATGCGTTGATATACTTGTATGTGACTCGTGAGTGTCTTCTTCCGTATATTATACATTTTCCGGTCTCTCGAGGCTTTGAATTTGTTGCGCTTGTGCGCCAATTAAAACATGAAATTTGTCGTTTTCCAACATGTTTTCTCTTTGCGTTAGACATGCTCCGAAAAAATACCGCTCGTTCCAATTTCTAAAATACTTCCTAGACGCAAGTGAACTGTGAATCGATTTAAGCGCATAACAATAATGCAAACACTAATCACAAAAGCTTATAGCAAGGCGACTTAATCCCTTTTATATACAGTTTGCAAGGGACAGGTTAATACGAAAATGGAACCAATCTACTTGTCCATGGCAACCCTACTTAACCTTCTCAAACTGTCAATTTTAAACCGACCCCATTTCCTTAATCACACAGTATTCCCAAAACGCTTTAATCGGGTTTAGGGGGGGGGGGGGTCGAAGCATCAGTGAAATTTATATAATATTACTGGCATGTGTAAGCCGCCTTTTTACTCATATATTGCAGTAATAATTCCTCGAACGGACTATATTATTATTTTGTATATACGTTTATATACGCGGCGAGCGCACAAACTATGCCAACTGGGTATATATGTATATGTATATTAATAGACTTACACATAATATATAATATAAAGAAAAAGTAATAAATGGAAATTAATTCCATTCATTGTGCCGCGAGTATTATAAACATGTCGATTCTGCACGAACAGCTTAGAGATATACCTACACCGGTGTATATAATAATATTTATACACACAGTAGGTACAAGGGATGCATTTGTGATAGGCAAACAAACAAAAAATTACTATTCATTGTAGGTAAAAGCGCATGGACTTTGTACATCGGCGAGCGCCACGCTGTACACTTTATATTGTGATACAAATATATAATATATTGGAAGTGTATGTTTATTATATACCTATATTTGTATACTAATATAATATTATACAAATGTATGCGAGCGTTTTAATAGGTACTTAATGTGGTAATAAATACTAGTCATAAAATCAGATTGAAAGTTTGTCTTACCAACCAAACCAAATCAACAAAAACAGCTAATGGACATTGTAGTCGATGCTAAAATAAAGATGAAAACAAATAAAAGTGTATTATGTTCATAATTGTGCGTCGTTGCTATTTATTGCCAATTTCCGGCAGAGTGCTTGATGTTTGTTCGTCGAAAAATCGTTATTACTAAGTAGTTACCATATTATAGGATCTGAAAAGGCTAGTAGTTACGCACAGCATTGGCGTAATTAAATTTTAAAAGTCAATTAATGTCTTCTTGGAGCTGATTCGTCTTGGTTTATTTTTATGGTGTACATATATTTCTCGAATCTGCATCGCCATAATTGACCTAGGTCCGTTAACCTTAGCCTACTAAAAAAAAACGAAATTAGAGATATTATTAGTCGTTTGGAATGTTTCCATGGTAGGATGGACTTAGGCCTATAATAATAAAAAGAAATGAATTCTCAAAGGAAAAACACCAACATCTCCGCGATTAGCTGTCACGGTTAAAAATACTTCTTTGGTCTGACATGCTAGTAATGTTTCAAGCATTTAGAGTTAAACGTTGTAATATTATTATCATACTAGCAAAACGGTTAAATATAGACGCGTGACATATCCTTCTTGACGGGTTTCATCAACACGAGCGTTATGTCCATATATGTTTAAATATAAATCTTGTCAGAATCACTTTCGAGCAAGATCCCAATTTTTAAGAGCAAATCATGGCGACAATGGGAATATGTCACGTCGTGTTGTTGTTTTGCAAGGTTTTTTTTTTTTTATTAAGAGAGCTGATGTTGGCGTCGGTTAGCTATGATGTATGGTAGCTAATACGGTTTATCTTTTTTTTTTAGCACACGCTTACCGGACACTGTGCCAAAGTGATGGCAGCCAAGTTCATGGGTGAACCGAACAAAGTGGTGACCGGCAGCCACGATCGTACGCTAAAAATATACGATCTCCGGATCAGAGCATGTAAGTATAATAATTTACCCCGGTGTTTGTTCCGACTTGTGCACAACTTATATGTCCTCGCGTACGCGGCAGAGGTCGCCTGGAGATGGTGGCGGCGGTGGAGGTGTACAATGTTACACGGTTTGTTGATTAACAAACAACTAGGGCGCCACCGTCCACTTCTCTCTAGTTGGTGTTGGTCCAATAAAAAACAAAACAAAACTCGTCGGTGGCGTAAAATATGACCATGGTGTCTTTGGCGGTTGTGTTTTATATTATAGCGTGGTTGTTGTTGTTTTTTCTACAGGCGTCGAGACCAAGTTTGCGGGATCCAGCTGCAACGACCTGGTAACGTCCGAGACCATCGGCACGACCATCATCAGCGGTCATTTTGACAAGAGGATACGTTTCTGGGATACGAGGACCGAAACGCCGCACACGGAAATCGAAGTCCAGGGACGGGTCACGTCTCTGGACTTGTCTAGAGGTAAACACGCTTTTACATTATTAATAATTGGCACTCGGTCAAATTTACGCTCATAAATTCGCGACTCTTTATTTATATAGTATTTTGTATTTAATATATTGTACACGAGTAATGTGGTATAAAACTATAAAGTAGCAACGCACATGTCACAGCTGATTCCCACACGTTCAGATAATATCGAAATCACACTCTAGTTATTATATAGTGCCAAGAACGAAACGATGCCACTAAGGATATCGCGTTGTTCTCGGAGATTCTCCCATTGATTGCCCACACGATTCGCTGCAAATCATATAAACAACCATTTAAAACTTTGTCTCCAATCAAGTTAATTGGCACGTAGTATTTAATGTGTGTAGTAGGTACTATTTACTTTTTAAATATTTTTACAAGACGATGAAACATTGTACAAAATTGTGAAATACGCATTTTTTTCAAACTACTAACTACTATCTTAAAAACTAGTCTCGCACATTTGAATTTATATTAATATTATTTGCATTGGACACTTAAGCTTTGCTAGACGTTTCAAATTCAAAAATTTATCCAGTGTCTTATTTCATAAAACGAGTGAGCATAATGTTGCAAAAGTGTATAATGCGTTTTAGAATGTTAAGGAAAACAGTTACATTCTAAACAGCTGCATTCTAACACGTTACAATAATTATTATTCTTTTATAGTTTAGATATCATGAAACTATTTAAAAAAAAAATATTGTCTTAGGTGAGCTATATTCTGCTTGAAAAGGAAAAAGAAATTACACATATAATTGTTGTATAAATTAAAAAAAACTGATACATTATACACAAAAAAATAATAAATAAAAAAATAACAAGTTAAAATGAATTTTATGACATTTTCAAATACTAATATAATATTGACATTATGACAATAACTTATTTTGACCACTAAGTTTTTTTCTTTGATTGCTGAGCTATTCTGATCTGTTTAAAAAAAATAATATAATTTATCTATTAGTAATCCTAAATTAATTAATGCTTTCGTGTTCTAATAGTTTAATGTTGTCGCGCCAAGTATGTATTGAAAATTGTATGCGGTTATTCTTTATTTTCTTAACATTGTTAATTTTCTCGTGTTTTTTATTTTTATATACTTATATATTTTCATAAATGATTGAAAATTATCGTCATTTAGTATAAGTACATAAAGTAGTAACAATTGAGGTACTTAAAGAAGTAAAGATATAAATTTTAGTTTTTACATTTTTCCTACACAGAAAAAATACATAGTTGGTCCAACTGTGTAATTTTTTCTATGTATCTTCTTATAATTAAGTTTTTAAAGTAGTAAAGTAGTGTCAATAAATAACCATCTGTTTGCCATGGTATTTTCTTTTTAAGTATATATTTATATTATTTTATTATTTATTTTCTATTATTCCTTCACTTAGTCTAATAAAATATTCAACGATTTATGTTTTTTTATCTATATTGTAATTAGTAGCTTGAATACAGCACAATTAAATTTTTGTTTGATTTATGCATTTGCAAAAGAACATGCAAACAACAAACTTACATCATTTTTAAATGAACGAAAACAGTAATTGCGATTTATATTAGATATCTGGATTTCCATGTGCGTGTATAATATAAATGTGTATGATAATAAACGTATAAACGTGTTTGTAGAAAGACTTAAACGAACGGAGCTCAGCGTACCATAAAATACTGTTATCTCTGCTCGTCTTAACCATTTGCAGAAGATCATTGAGTAATTCAAGAATAAATAAAGAGGTCATTTCCTTTACAAATGATAATATCTCCCTAGGGGGCAATTAACTTAGACATGTAATACAGTAATGTAACAGTAATCACATACAATAGGCTGAAACGCAATAATGATACAAACTGCTTCTTTATATTATATATTTTTCTTATAAACATTGTAGTGCATACTAGACAATTACTCTATCTATGGATAAACTAGTATATTTAAAAACAATTATACTGTAATTTGCACTTTAGGAAAGGCGCTCGGAGGCTAAACAAAAAACTTAATTACTTAGTATCGTATAAACTTATTGTATAGCAAATAAGAAGATTTAATTGTATATTAACTATAACAATGTAAACCACTGGAATACAGTCTTTTTTTAATAGGGTAATCTCGGTTGAACGGTAATTTACATGTAAGATTTTACTGTTTGGTTTATTTTAATGCAGTTGGATTTCAATCTCGAAAACAATTTGTTTTTGCATCAACTGAAGTAAGGTTGCATCCGTGATAGCCAGATTTTATAGTTGCAACCATTAAATAACATTTCTATCAAATGAACTTTTGATTAGTCAGACAAAATACGTTTTCGTGTAACTGGTTATTTTTTATATTCGAATCCGGTATTTTATGTTAATATTATTTCGTTTAAACTTATTAGTTATTAGCTCGTAAATAAATGTTTATTAAATTCCCACAGTAAATAGATCTTCCAAGGAAGGTCATAAGCAGTCTATCGGAATCTGAATACCCGAACTTAAACCGTCTGTACCTGTCATAACAATATGAGCTTAGTATGGGAGTTACCTGAAAATAATAGGCACCGCCAGTATTAGACAGGTGGTAATTAAGTTATATTATATTGGATACATTTGGGAAGTTCCTGTCAGGAACCAATCGGGTACTAAATATAAAACCATTTTAACCTAAACAGTATTTTCGGTTTGGTATTTCGCCCAAATCTAATTAGGTATTACAAGAACAAATTAATATTTTTTAAGTGCATGAAATACATTTTTAGTTCACTTTTCATATGTACCTATGTGTTTTTTGTATAAACCCAATATTTTTTTTTTAAATATTAGTTACACAGTTTGATCAATATTCTGATGGCGTTTGCTTGTCTAAATGTATATTTTCGATATCGAATCCTGTAAACGATAAATCTAACCTGGCTGACGTATTATTATCCAGTATAATAATATTGTAATTTTTAATAAATAATAATTATTATGATACACTATAATTAATTTATATACGAGTAATTAATGCCATGTATATGAGATTGAAAACTCTTAGAACTTGCATTTAATTACACAATGCATTATGCATAATCCATGGAGTGTATTATTCGTACGTTTTAAACGTAATCAACAGACGACTTACCTGTCAATCCGGATCGCAAAAAAAAAAAATCGTGATCCATGGTGTAAAGCATGGATCACTTCTGTGATTAATGATTTATATATAAAATCTCAGTACACTGATAAATTGTTAGCGCACGATTATTAATAATTATTATTATTGATGCTGTTTTTAAAAAAAATGTGTGTTGTTGTTTTAGACTTGCGATTGGCGTTGTTTTAATTATTATTTTATGGATAAGATTCTTTCAAAGCACTAAGACTCCGTTTACGTCTCAATGGAATTCAATAGCTAATTAATATCTTCTGAAATTCCCAAAATATTATCTGAACTAACATTAATATTATTGTCTACCGTTCGTGGTCACTTGGAATCCTGTGTTTCGCTAATCTATATTGATGTGCTCTTGTGTGCTTCACTAGGTCTTTACGGGCACGCACTTCTTTTCGTGCTTTAGTTGTACTGGTAATAAAAAATATAATTAATTACTTGTAAAACGAATAAAAAAAAAATACTTCCCCGATATCACACAATATTAACTACCGACCGTTACATAATTAATAATATGCTCGTGACTTTTTTATGGAATTCAGTGGATTTACACTGATAATAAAACGTTAACATCCGAAGGTCGTATAATTTCACATAATTATCGATCCACCGGATCCATATAGTTCACACGCAGCCATAGAATTTTTATTGTAGTTTATGTCAGTGATTTTCAGATTTGATTTGACACGACCAACGGCTATATTAATACACTATAATAATATAAGAGGTAATGGCGTAGGTATTGTGGGTTCCGGGCATGTTGAAGTTACTCACTATCATATAACGGATTTTAATTATAATTTACAGTTTATTTAGTTTTTTAAACTTGTACTTCCACGGGCTCTTATAGTTATAATACAGCCATAAACGCTTAATATAGTCCTATAATCCTTAATATAAGATTCGATTGTAAAAAAAAAAAAAAAAAAATAATATACTGCAAAATGAATAGCTTTTTTGTTTTGTATATTACTATTGATTATTTTCAATACCCTCGATTACTCACATTTAGGATATTATTCTCTATGACAGTTAAAGTAGATTTAAGTTGCCAGAGCAAAGAAAATAATTAATAGGTATGAGTTATTATACATAATTATAGAAAGTATCGCATATTCTGTTTGACGGAATACCTATAAATTATACATTAAAAAAAACATGTTGAGTTAAAAATATACTGATTAGACACTATTTTTTAGTCTAAATATTAGTATTCTTACTATAATTGTTATAGAAATTCTAAAAATATAACAGTTTAAAAATTCCTTAACTATCTATTTCTAAATCTACCTTCTAGGCAAAGTCACTCGCCTTAGCGACTTGGTTTATATCAAAACTCAAAAGTATTCATGATATAAATTTAATAACAGCTGACGGCTTAGTCGATTTTTCCTAGAAAACGTATATTGTATGGGGCGTGGAAGTAAAATAACATACTTGGGTACTTGACAGCCTTGTCTCTTATACCTAATATTATATCCTTTAAGAAAATGAAAAACGTAGTTTCTTGATTTTGTTAAAAAATACAAGAAACAGACAGCATAAATTATAATAAAAACGAATTCAAATTCGTTTTAAGACCAGAATTCACTACTTAAAACCATATCATTCCTAAACATACACAATACCTATTACACACTAACAACTATACGTTGTTTACTAAACACTACTTTAAGTATTTCTGTATGTGTATAAAAATAATAATCAAAATATAGACGTCGGTAATTCGATGATTTCGAAACTCGTCCTGTACCGAACTCGTTTTCATTTTTGAGTATACTTTTTTTTATAGATATTGGATTGCCACTTGCCGTTTTGGATTTCCTGGGGAACTCGGACGAGTTTCGCG